TTAAAGACATACAAGACATTACAGGTAGCCCATGCCTACAATCTCAGCTGCTTGGAAGGTAGAGATAGGATGATTGTGATTTGAGGCCAGCCCAGGAGAAAAAACTTAGCAAGACCGTATCTCAGAAGAACAAGCTGGACATGGTGGCACATGCAGTAATCCTGGCTACGTAGGAGGCATAGGTAGGAGGATTGCAGTCCAAGGCTGGCCTGGACAAAAAGCTCAAGACCCAACCTAAAAAAAAAATAAAGCAAAAAGGGCTAGAAGTGTGGTTCAAGTACTTGTCTAGCAAGTACAAGGCTCTGAGTTCAAACCTCAGTAACTCAAAAAGAAAGATACAGCAGATGCTGACCCACCTTGTATCCCTTCGTCTCTGTCCGTCACGGTTGAGTGTGTTTTAGCTGCTCTCTGGCCCACCTTCCTTTGACTGACCTGCCTTTTAGTAATGTGTTTGTTCATTCTTCCAAATATGGTAGTTTTAGGGTGCCAGGAGAAAGGAAAACCATACTTTGGGCCAGAAAAAGCAGTCTGTTTACCTCCTTTGGGTTTAATATTTGATATCTGAGTACTCGTCCTGGTAAGGCTGAGCTGGTGTGATGCATACTAGAGAGCAGGGGGGTGGGATGCTGAGCATACAGGGCCAAGAGCCCACCAGGCCTGGCCCTCAGAAGCCTGTTCCCAGCAAGGCACTCAGTAGGTGGTAAGCTCTCCGTGGCTCAGCTCTTTATCCTGAGTTACAGATGGTGAGAATAGCTCCTTGAGAGCTGTGAGGATCAAAGGAGATCAAGACTCCTGTATGCCTGGCACAGAACATGTGTGGCCCATAGCACGTGCTCCATAAAGGTCACCATTTAAAGGGACCACTGGAACATTTTCAGTTCTGCATTCTGCAGGGGAAATTGTATACCTACTCTAGAGGTGATTTCATGGGAGAATGTCTGTGGACACATTCCTGGGGAATAGCAGTGGTCCCCCTCCTGTGACAGCATAGGAGTCTGCTCAGACCACCCTGCCCCTGCCCTTAGAGCTGTCTTGAACAGGATTTCTTCTGTGGTTGAGGAATCAGAAATTCCTCAGGAATTCTATGCACCAGCCTGTCAGGTTATAAAAGGGAAATAATACCAGTGCAGGCCTGAAACCCCCGCACTCAGGAGACTGAGGCAGGAGGATGAGTTCTAGGCCAGCCTGGGATATGTAGCAAGACCCTGTCTTTCAAAAAAAAAAAAAAAACTGAGAGAGAGAGGGAAATGGTTGGTGGAGGGTAGGAGGATATATTTATGAAAAACTGAACTTACAAGAAACATTCAGAAATTACTGCCTTAAAGGAAGTTCTAATTAGTCTCTGAAGCTTCTTCAGTTCAGTTTGTTTCTATTAGGGTGTTCTCAAAAAAGTCCATCAACTTTATTTTCGTATCATTTTACATGAACTTCCCATCCTTGGTTGTTGGCTCTTTTCATTTTTCTTGCTCAAGAGCTGAGTCAGGCTACCACCTCTGCCTCAGCCAGGTGTGCACTTGGATTTGGCAGAACTTGTCACCAGATGTTAAGTTCTTTTAAACACAAAGTAAATACGGCAGAAGTTAACGGCTGGCGAATTAGCTGAAGGCTGTGCATCGTGTTTGTGGTTTTTTTCCCTCACTTGGGATGGAACCCAGAACTTTAGTACATGCTGGGCAAGTGCTCCACCACTGAGCTGCAGCCCTCATTCTGTTGTGCTTTCTTCTTTCAGTTTTTCCATAAGTTTGAGATTTTTCATTGTAAAAAAGTTGAGAATCATATTTTCCTCAATGTCTTATACATCTTAGGTTATAGATACTCATTACTAAGTGTAATTTTTAGTTAAGGGTTTCTGTATATGTTTACAGTCTTATGTAAACTGGATAAATAAACATGAGACCCTACAGAGAATATGTTCAATTTCTCTAATTAAAAAGGTACTTTTTTGTACCACATCAATAAGTGTGAATAGACAAAATAATTTCATAGATTTAGAATATAAGTTCTGTTTATTTCTCCTGTCATCAGTTGAGAAAAGTCACCACTGCTAAGTAGATATTTTTTCTATCTCTTCCTTACATCAGCAGTGTCTGCCTTCTTTCTGTTGCCATGGATGGCTAAAAGATTAATCAGAAAGTTCCTATTAACAACTTCTAGTTCCTTAGAACTTACCCTAACTTAGACTAGTGAGTGAAGCAGAAAGATGCTAAACACAGAGGATAATTAGACAACATTGAACCAGTGTGAACTGACGGAGCTTTTCCCCTAACAGGATAATCTGCAGGGTTACAAAACTCAAAATAAATTTCTAAATAAGGAAATTTTGGAACTCTCAGCTCTACGACGAAATGCAGAAAGGAGAGAGAGGGATCTGATGGCAAAGGTGAGTCAGGAAGGGGGATTCTCTCATCTGATGGGTGGGAAGAAAGCTATTTTTAAGCAAGTGTGCTTTGAAACCAGTTGAACCACCATACTTGGAGAGATATGGCTACTTGAATCAAAATACACTGAAAACATAATTAGCACAAGCAGCTGTACTTCAATGATGAGGGAGAAGTGCTTCCATGTGACTCCTGTTCATACGTCTGCATTTTAATGGAATTTTCAGGGGAATAAATGAAGTGTAACTCCAAGGTCCCCCAGTTTAAGGTTATTTGGATTTTGATTGTTACTGTTTCATATTTCTAAAAATGGGGGTGGTGAGGATAATACCTCAAACATTCCAGTTGTAGCTGAAGGAGTTACAATCAAATGGCACCTGTGTATAGCTGTTACGTACCTCGTGCTGTTTTGAACAGACATCAGTGCATCTTCCCAAACCTTACTCCTGCATATTTTCCAGGGTTCAGTTAATTTGTCTGATCAGATGACAGATGGGAGCTAGTCCTGGGTCATAGTATCCTAAGAAAGTTGGGGTGGCCTGGGGTGACCACTCGTGGCCCGTGTGCCAAGTGGCAAATGAATGGCACATGGCCTGGTTTCTGCTGCTTACGCCAACCCTGTTCAGGGGTGAGGCTTGTATTGGTGATGGCACCCTTGATTATCAGCACCCTTCTGTGCCAGACCTCCAGAAGGAAGAGGGGGCCACAGCAGGCCATTTTAAACATGGCAGGTGGTCTGTGACATACGTTAATCTCTTGTCTGTGTTGCAGTCTGTGTCTGGCTCACTTCCTAATAGTCTTGGGCTTGTCATTCATTGATTGCCTGAGGTACCTGTGGATTGCTTTTCCCATGTCTCTGTCTGAATGGAGATAACTCCCACATTCTCTGTAGTATTCTAGCCTGGAAGCCAAGCTCTGCCAGGTAGAAAGTAAATACTTGATACTACTTCAAGAAATGAAGACACCAGTTTGCTCAGAAGAGCAGGGGCCTGCCCGGGATGTCATAGCCCAGTTGCTGGAGGATGCTCTGCAGGTTGAGAGTCATGAGCAGCCGGAACAAGCACTCATCAAACCTCATCTTGTCAGGTAAAGGTGCCATTGACTGTTAGGAGTAATCCACCCATTTCTGAAGTCCCTGCTTTCAACAGCAGTAGCTGTTCACAAAGGACTTTACACGACTCTGTGTGTCTTATTTGATACTCATGACAAGTGCTAGGTCGGCAAAACGCTTAGTATCCTCAGTCTTTCCCAGCAATCAAGGGAGAGAGCTAGGAGTCAGCCCAGGCTGCAGATGGCAAGACCATGTCGGAGTAGCCTCACTTGTGATCCAAGGAACGGGAGCCATTTCCTGAGACTTGGCTACACCCACATGGGATTCAAAACCAAAGGGGCCCACAGTGAAGAAAGTAGGCTTCCTTTTACAGGCTTGGGGAGCCTGCTGCAGTGCTCCAGAGCCCTCTGAGCGCTGATACAAGTCATGGACACACTTACCCCAAAATGCATGTAAGAATCTGGAAGCCATGATGAACCTTGGGTTAAGAACCCATACAACCTATTTGCTGGGAAAATGAGACTCATGAAACGTTGAGCTAAGGAGAAATGTGCAGATTCTCTTTTTGGTCCAACCTACTCTTCTGTTTTTGCTCTCTGTCTCTGGGCCTTGCTTACTGCAGTCTCCTTTCTGCTTCTTTCCCCCTCCCCCATCCCCAGAGGAAGTGTAGCTTCCACTTGATATGCTCCTTCCTGAGGTTCCAGCACTTCAGCAGTGTCTGGGCTGCTCAGATGGCAGAAATGTGCTGTCAAAATGGGCCCAGTTCATTGTTACAGGACTTTTTTTTTTTTTTCAAGGTTACTAGGTACAGGAGTGGTTTTTATGCAGAATCGTTTTTAATGCTCAGTGAGTGGGTGTTTCTGTGCTCACTTCACAAGTGAGGAAGCTGGCATTAGGAGGTGGTATAACTTGCCCAGGGCCACACAGCCTGCACAGCCCTGGCAGCCAGATTCTTACATGTAAGAGCACCTGCTTCCGTGCTGTGTGTGGCTGCTTTGCTCATAGTAGTTGGCCACGTGTGTGAGTTGTGCTGATATGTGATGTGTCCTTCCACATGCGTTAGGTAGCTCTTCAGCATTCTTTTTATCTGCTTCATAGGACATCACAGGGTGAGTAGACCACAGTGTCTGTTTCTTCCCCTTATGGAGGACACACAGGACCTTTCCATTTTTCCTTGTTATAGTGGTGCAGTGGACATCATGGTACATGGTGCTTCCCTTTGTCCAAGGGAAAGAGTGTTTCTTCAAGGTGTAGCACAGCAATAGAGTTTATATGGTGTCAAAAGCCTTTGTGTTGGTTTTCTAGTATTGCCATCACACCCTTAGTCTTAAAACAACACGAGTTCATTATCTTCTAGTTCTGTAGGTCAGAAGCCCAGCAAAGGCCTGACTGGATTGAAATCAAGGTTTAATCAAGGGCTGCCTATGCACAATAGTGAGATATGGTTTCAAAAAGATGTATTTTGAAGCATAAAGTTATTCACGTGCATATGTATGATGTACAAGCATGCACATTGATATTGCCACATATTTCAGTCTTTTGTGGTTTGCCATGTTTCCTTCTTTGCTTTTCACATTCAGAGAGAGAGAGAGAGAGAGAGAGAGAGATAGTTGTTCTAGCCCTATAAGCCAGGAGCTTAGACGCCTGGTCACATATCAGTTCCACATACACATGGACTGGTTTCTAAGTTCTCCATTTTGTTTCCAAGACTGTATCGTTTTCATTTGCCCTTTTTTTTTTCTTTTTTTTAAATCAACAGCGAGTATGATATTTACGGGTTTAGGACTGTCCCCGATGATGATGAGGAAGAGAAGTTGGTTGCCAAGGTCCGTGCATTGGACCTGAAGACCCTCTACCTCACAGAAAACCAGGAAGTTTCTACCGGGGTCAAGTGGGAAAACTATTTTGCAAGCACCATGAACAGGGACATGGCGCGCTCTCCAGAGATAAAAACCCTGATCCGCGCAGGCATCCCCCACGAGCACCGCTCCAAGGTGTGGAAGTGGTGCGTGGACCTTCACAGGAGGAAGCTGAAGGGCTGTGCTGAGCCAGGCTACTTTCAGACCTTGCTTCAGAAGGCTCTAGAGAAACAGAATCCAGCCTCCAAGCAGATCGAGCTGGACCTGCTTCGGACTCTGCCTAACAACAAACATTACTCCTGCCCCACCTCGGAAGGCATCCAGAAGCTACGCAATGTCCTGCTCGCCTTCTCCTGGCGGAATCCGGATATCGGCTATTGCCAAGGTCTAAACAGGTGAGTATTAACCCACAATGCTCCTGTCTGCTGCTCAGAGCTCCCAGGCACCAGGCCCTGCCTGACAGCCCCTCTCCCCAGCTGGCTGGCCAAAAAAGCCAGTATTTTAAGGGAAAAAAGGAATTATAGTAAGCTAGCTTTAATGTTGCAGTATCCCCCAGTTCTCTCTCAAACAACTGATTTCAGAAAGTATTAAGAACACAAAAGTTGTGGCTGGGGATTTAGCTCGGTGGTGGAGTATGTACTTAGCATGAATGAGACCCTGGTTCAATCTCCAGCACTGAAAAAAAAAAAAAAACCATGAAAGTCAAAGTCACTTGAAACAGGTGGGAGTCTTGCTATTATTATTATTTTTTTTTTTTTTGGTAGGACTGGGATTTGACCAGGTGCTCGACTGCTTAAGCTACACCTCCAGTCCATTTTGCTCTAGTTATTTTAGAGATGGGGGTCTCAGGAACTATTTGCTGGGCTGTTCTCAAACCATGATCCTCCCGATCTCAACTTCCTAAATAGGTAGGATTATAGGCGTGAGCCATTGGTGCCTGGCAAGTCTCATTTTTTTCTTCCTTGTTCACATGTGGTTTTGATGAGAAGAATTTGATTTCATTAGTTGATAATCCATGGAGTAAAAACTCATGGTCACTTCTTGTTTGTGCAGAATCCTTGTGAATTAAGAAGTTGCTCAGCCCTCAATGGGCCTTAAACTTGCTTCCCGTTAGGCTAGAATCTCTACAGGTCCTCCATGTTTCCCTGCTTCTGTCAGCAGAGGACACCAAAGGCTTCTCAACTTCTCATGGGAATCTAGACTCATCATCCTAGAGATGCAGGGCCAGGATGAGGCCTTGGGAGGCACTGAGACCTGGACCTGCCTCTTAGTACTCACCTGATCTTGCCTGACTGGTACATTTCCTGCTTCCTGCTGTCATTGCAGTTGTCATTTCATGCTGGGAAGAGATAGTAGGTAATTAGGCTTGTTAGAAGGACAAAGTAGGAACAATGATGATGCTCTCTGTGTGTACCTGAGGAACTCTGTAAGCCACCTGCATGACTTGAGTTTTGAATGTTAACATTTATTCTTGCTGCTCAGAAGCCTTTCTGCTCCTGACACATCGTTTACAACTTCTGAAAGCTGAAATGCTGTGAAACCAAGGGATCCTGATGTGGACTTGGGTGTCTGGAGTGCAGTAGTGCCCTGTGTCCCTGGTGGTGTCATGGCATCGGCTCTTCCAGGCAGTCAGGGCTTTCTCTCTGTTCCTCCGCCTGACACTGACAAAACCTCTGAATTTTAGCTATTTTTTCTTCAGAAGGGTTGGAACGTTCATGCCTTCTGAGTACCCCAGCTGCAGTAGGACAGCCTTAGCCATCTTGAAATGACTTGAGGCTGTCGTCTTCAGTGTCAGTCCGTCTAAGTGTTGTCCTCAAGGACAGTCCTGAATGTCAGGCTCTTTACTTCCTCTTCCTGGCACCCTGGATGCTGTGGATTTGGTTTTGGTGCTTCCTGGACCTGTTTTTCTCTCCTTTCTTCCATCTGCTACTTGCCACCATCCCAGTCTGTGTCCCTTTCAAAGTGACTAGAGGCATCCTTCTCCCACCTAGCCCAGTGCTTCCCCCCACACTTCTTTTTTATATTTGAGGCCGTTCATTACAATTTTATCTAAGAAAGGGGGAAAAAGCAAATCCTGAGAAAGGACTTGAGAGTTTTTCTTATGAATGATATACCATTTCATGTCATGGGCTGAGGTTCTTGGATTTCAGCTAGGCAGAGAGGGGCTTTTCTCATTCCTCTGCCCTAAATGCCAACTAGGAGCCAGACTTGGAATTACCAGATAAGTAATCTCTCTGTTTTGTTTTTTTTTGTTTGTTTTTGTAGTACTGGAGATAGAACTCAAGGTCTTGCACATGTTCACATGTTAGGGAAATGTTCTACCACTGAGCTGTAACCTAAGTCCTGGTTTTTTTTTTTCTTTGCAGTATTAGGGACTGAACCCAGGGTCTTGTGAAAGCTAAGCAAGTACCAGAACTATATTCCCAGTCTCCCAGGTACTACCACCCACCTTTTTTGAAGCAGAGTCTCACCAAGTTGCCTAGGCTGGCCTCAAACTTGCAGTCCTCCAGCCTTAGCCTCCCAAGTAGCTGGGATTACAGATACATGCCACCATGCCTGGCAGTAACCTCTTGATTAGTGGCAGTGTGTGAACAATTAGACCCAGGTTTCTATTATGAAGAACACAGAAGTTGGTACATGTAGTTGGTCTCCCTTCCCACTCTAGGTCAAAACTGGGTAAAGCTCTCTTTGGAAGCCCCTGGGCAGGGTTTCTGTGTCTGCAGCCCTGTTTCCTTCCTCCAGCAGGAAGCAGGATGGATGGAATCCGGGAAGTTGTTTACACCATCTTGTACTCTGTTACTCACATTCACATTCATAACTGGTCTCTATGCATAAAAGCATTGGTTGGAACTACTTGTACAATGAACTCTAAGAATTAGCCATATCATCAGAATCTTTTCTTTCTTTTTTTAGCAGAACTGGTGTTTGAACTCAGGGCCTTGTGCTTGCTAGGCAGGTGCTCTACCACTTGAGCCATGTTCCTAGCCCTTTTGCGTTAGTTATTATTGTTCAGCAGGGGATTTGAAATAGGAATATTGCCCAGGGATAACCTGTACATGATTTTTCCTATTTATGTCTCCCACATAACTAGAATGACAGGTGTGTGTCACTATGCCCAGCTTACTGGTTGGGATAGAGTCTCACCTAACTTTTTCCCCAGGAGCCCTCTAACCATGATCCTCCCACTCTCTACCTCTCAAATAGCTGGGAGTACGTGAACCACTGTGCCTAGCCCTAACAGCATGTTTTAAATGAGACTGGTCAATCATAGAGAAGTAATTTCATCTTTGAGAGGACAAGGGGAATGTAGCTTTGCTGCTCAGATTTTAGGGAATGCCTCACATTGAGGAATACTTACGTTCTTCCTTGGAGAACTAGACATTGTTTTGACCGTGAGAGAGAAAGTGGCTTCAGCAGATTGATCAGTGAAGACTAGAAAGGACCTTGTTCTGCATTTGCTTGTAGATTGGTGGCCGTGGCCCTCCTGTACCTGGAACAAGAAGATGCTTTCTGGTGTCTGGTTACCATCGTGGAAGTTTTCATGCCTCGAGACTATTACACAAAGACTCTTTTAGGATCCCAGGTACTTTTTTTCCCCATTCACTCTTTATGTTAGCCTATATTAATTGTTCATAATTACAGTTTTCATTGTGACATTTTCATACCCAGGTGCTTTGTAATATTCTGTGCTTCAGTCACTAACTTGTAGAATTGTAGCTGAAATGGAGGAGGCTGTGTACATGATTCCAGCCACTGATCCTTGCAGACCCTGATCCATCTCAGAGCCTGGACTCCATTGTCTGTGAGTGAGCTGGGTTGGTTCATTCAGCTCACTAAACAACAGTATAGAGACAGACCAGCCCTGCAGACCTGGTACCATGTTCACTGCTCTGGCCTCCCTTCCCTGGGCACAGAGCCTCATGGCAGGCGGTCATAACCCAGTGACGGTAGAGGAGCCTGGTGTTAGCTTAGGTTCTGCAGGTTGCAGGTACCTGTAGGGAGACACCTGTGAAGGACGAAGGATCAGCTGGGAAGGCTGTGAGAAGGAAGGAGGGTTGAGAGAAAGAGCCTCAGATGAGTGTGGTCCCGAGCCTCTGGGAGGCTTGAGCCAGGCTCAGCTGCTAGAGGCACCACTGGGACATGGTGCCTCAGTGCCCTGCTGTGCTCACACAATGACTTCTGGGAACAAACACACAGTGATGGACCCTGAGGGGCAGTGAGGGGCAGCAGTGGGACCAGCTGTCACCTCCCATGGTAGATCTGAGCGGCACGTGTCACTCCCTCCACACCAGGGTCAGGCTAGGATGATGTGGGCCAGGAGAGGCCAGATTGCCTAACTCCACCTGAGTGTCCTGCCTTGAGACTCAGGGTGTCTTCCAGTGTGGGCTGTCTGCCTGGCCCTTTCTGTGCTTCCCAGCTGTCTCAGTCTCAGTCTCAGCTCTTGTTTCAGTTCCTTTTGTTTCTTCCCAGCACATGTAGATACTCAGACTGAGAGCGTGGTGTATCCTGGCTGCCCACTGCATGCCATCAGCACCTTCCTGTGTCGTGTGCCTTTGTAACCCTCACATTTAGAACCTATTCTAGTCCATTAGGCAGATGGATATAATGCGTCATCCATGGGCAGCCTGTGAGGCTGCTCTTAACATGGGGATGGCTTTTTGTGTGCCATCAGCCCCAGTTCTGGGCTTTGCAAACCCCTATCCAACTGCCTTTCTGCCAGAATCCTGGGTCCCAGCCCCCTGCCCACAGCTGCTGCCCAGCTGCTCACCGGCTTCCCATTCTTGCCAGCCATGATAAGTTTATGCTGTGTGCCAGACATTGCTAGGTGCAGAGGACACAAAAATGAATGACACAGTCATCCCATGTCCTCCAGTGCTTGGCAAGGGAGAGGGTAAAGCAGAGGCCTGGGCAAGCATATACTGGCAGCCTGGTCCCTGCCCAGCCCTCTGCCAAACCCCCATCTCCCATCTCTGGCAGCTTCAAGCAAGGCACCGTCTACCACCCAGTTGGGAGAAGAGATGTGTACACGGATCCCCTTCCACTTCAAAGCCAGATAGATGTCCTGGCCCCTCAGATGTCTTTAGCCTCCCTGGGCAGAATGAATCCAAGTGTTATCATTTGGTCTCATGGTCAGCTGTCCCTCTCCCTGACACTGATCCCCATCAACAGGGACTTGTGAAAGTACAGACAGATGTGTCATTGTTGTTTAAATGTTGGGGAATGGAACAAGCAGAAAAGTACCATCATGAGTGTGTGCTGCTGACTGCTCCGTGGGAGAAGGACACAGGGAGCTGTGGGGAGTGAGGCTTCCTGCTGAATGGACACCAGGCCTGGCGTGTCATCATGGGGTCCTCATGTGCACCAAAGGATGGTTTGGCAGCTTGAAGAACCCTTAGTGGTTTGTGCACTGCACTTACCCAGTTTCACAGGTCCAGGTGCATACCTTCTGCACACCAGCAGGGTGTTACAGCGTTTTAGGCACTTTGGTGTTTAAGAAAGTTACTTATTTTTCATTTCAGTCAGTTGATATCTTTGAAATTTTATTTCTTCTAGTCAGAAAGCAAATTGGCCACAAGGTACATTTCAAGCCTGAATTCCAGTATTTTGTTGTCCTTTGTGTACACTAGTGCATTTAGAACTTTTTAGAATAATTTTAAAGACGTTTTTAGCTTTGTTTATTTATTTATTTATTTATTTTTTTCTGATAGGGTCTTGCTATGTAGCCTAGCCTGGCCTTAAACTCGAGATCATCCTGCCTCTGACTCCCAAGTGCTGGGATTATAGCAGTGTGCCACCACACCCAATAGCTTTTAGCTTTACAAGTTACTTTGCCTTTTAAATTTTTAACCTATTTTTTTCTTTTTTGGTGGCACTGGAGTTTGAACTCAGAGTTTCATGCTTGCTAGGTAGGTGCTCTATCACTTTAGCCACTCCACCAGCCCTCTTTAAAATTTTAAGTTAAAGCCTGGCATGATGGCTCTCACCTGTAATCCTAGCTACTCAGGAGGCAGAAATTGAGGGATCAGGGTTCAAGACCAGCCCAGGCAAAAAGCTGAGCCTTCATCTCAACAAAAACAAAAACTTGCGTATGGAGGTGTGTGCCGCCATCTCACCTGTGCGTCCATCTATGAAAGCAGCATAAGTAGGAGGATCAAGGTCCAGGCCCACCTGGCCAAAACTGGAGGCCCGGTCTCCAAAGAACCAAGCAGAAGGGCTGGAGACGTGGCCACATGCTAGAGTGCCTGCCTGGGCCTGAGTGCAAAAGAAAAAGTTTAAACTAAATTTCAGGTAGTAGTGCCTACTTGGTCCTATTTAACTGTACTTTTAAAAGCAAAAAAGCAAAACATTTTTGATTGTTAGGACTTCTTTTAAAGAAAAACAAAACTTCAACCAAGAAACAGTTGACTTTTTAATGTTTTGGATTGTCCTTACAAACATTTACAGGATGCTAATTTACATTTGTCTAGATTGTTTCTGGTTTTTTAAAAATTCCAGTAACCCCAGTAGTTTCATACCTGCTGTCCCAGCTTCACAGATGTGCCATTAAAAGTTTCTCAAGTCTCTCAGAGGTTTATTCCTGTAGGACATAAGCATCCCCGTAGTTTCTGGATGCTGCCAGATTGCCCTCTAAGTGGCTGTCCAGCTTATGCCCAACCCACAGCACCCAAGAGGGCATCATGCACTACTGCCTTTCATGAATGTTGAGGACACCATTTGACATGGAGTTGGCTGTGTCACCTTCTGTTTGTCCTCCAGGGTCTGGTTTCACCCATTGTGCCTTTGCAGCTAGCTACTCTTCCTGCCTCATTGTTCTGGAAGTTGCTCTACTCACCTGTGGTGATTCTTCCCTGCAACCCACAGCCTCGACCTGGGGTCTCCTGATAGAAGTGCCTGGGGCATCAGCTCAGTCCTGGCCTCCTCCAGCCCTCATTCCTGTGATCTGGCCTCAGGGCAGCACAATTCTGCTGTCTGTGGGCACTCAGCACTGTTCCTTATCTGTCATGGCCAGGTGTGACAGGTTCTTTAGGCGCCACCTCCAAATGATTTAGAGCCCTGTGCTCTCATCCTGCTTTTGATCTCCTTTTGCTTCTGATTTTCATCAGCTCCCTCCAGCCCTGTCTCCCTGTTGTGATGGAAGGACAGACCCCAGGATACCTGCCCTTCTGCCGACAGCCTTGAGGCGCTTCGCATAGCCACTGTGGGTAGAGAAATGGGTTAGAGGGTTGGTGCTAACCTCCTTTGTGTGTCAGATGAAATGAATTAGACTAGAGTTGAAAGTACTGAGCTCCACTGTATGAAGTTAAGTGCTGTTTTGTGAAACTTTTTTTTTTTTTGGGGGACTGTGGTTTGAACTTGGCTTTGTGTTTGCAAAGCAGGCACTTTATCATTTGAGCCACATCTCCAGTCCATTTTGCTCTGATTATTTTGGAGATGAAGTCTCTTTCACAAACTGTCTGCTTGGGCTAGCCTCAAACCTTGATTCTCCTGATCTCAGCCTCCCAGGGAGCTAGTTTTACAGATGTGAGCCACTGGCAACCAGCTTGTTTTGTGAAATTCTTGTTTCTGTTTCTATACACAGTTGACTGGGTCATGGTTAAAGTTGGATGTTTGCGTGTGGGTCACAGACAAAGGCAGGGAAAGTCCCTGGCTTATAGAAGGGTGCCATGACCCCTCAGTGTGATAGAGTCACCTCTGGGACTGGCTTCTGCCAAGCCGCCCTACTTTGCTTTCCACCCTCCCACTGAAGCCTGGGCTCTGACTGTCAGTGCTGTTTCTCTAGGCTTGACTGGGACCTGTCTGTGGGCTCCAGGGCACACATGGACACATCTTTACAGGCCCTGGCCACACTTGCCATGCACCCACTCATCTTTTACGTCCTGTGGCCAAAGCTGAACCTTATTCAGCCCCTACCCAGGCCTGGCTCCTTGTCTGAGCTTACACAGCACAGCTGTAGCCACACGTGGCCTGTTGACAGGCGATAGGTGGTTTTCCCATCTTTTCTAATCCCCATAACAGCCAGGTAGGTGAGAGAGATACCACTGACTAGTTTCCAGAACTATTTAGAACATCATTTGCCAAAAGCCACCCAGCTAGTAAGAACTTAAATCTACACGGAACCCTCCAGTTCTGGAGTCTTTGCTCCCTATGCTGCCCCATTCAGCCTGCTGAGTATTTGTTGCGTGGACCTATGTGGTAATGTCACACTTCCTCTTTCACTCAAGACTCATCTTTGTTGTTGGAGGGGGTGGTTCTGGGGTTTGAATTCCGGGCCTTGCACTTGAAGATGGGTGCTCTGTCACTTAAGCCACACACCCTGCCCTTTTTGCTTTAGTTATTTTTGAATAGGGTCTTACATTCCCCTATCTAGACCTCCTGCATAGCTAGGATTATAGACATGAACCACCATGCATGACTTCTTTGTTGTGATGGGGTCTTGATAATTTTTTGCCTGGACTAGCCTCGAACTGCAACAATTCCGATCTCTGCCGCACATGTATGAGATTACAGGCATTAGTCCTCAAAACTCATCTTGATCCAGGTATCTGCCCAGGATTTAGCAGTGCCTGTGTTTACAAGTGGGTGGCAGGGTCAACTCCATCCTGATGTTGTCAGGCTATAGGTCCCCATACCCTGTGGTGGGTGTTGCTCCATGACACCTGATGGCACCTGCAGTATGAGGCCAGCTGTCTCTGGGCCACAAGGCAGTCTGGGTCTGAGGAGCTCATGATACGGGTTTGGAAGAGCTGTGTTGCTCAGTGTCTCCGTGGCTCCACCCTTGGTTCTCACTTCAGCATCTGTCTGTTTGCTTGCCTGGTGTCCTGGCAGACCCGGACGTGTTCCCTTCGTTCCCTTTCCAGGTGGACCAGCGCGTGTTTAGAGACCTCATGAGTGAGAAGCTGCCTCGGTTGCACGCCCACCTGGAGCAGCACAAAGTTGACTACACCCTCATCACATTCAACTGGTTTCTGGTGGTGTTTGTGGACAGTGTCGTTAGTGACATCCTCTTTAAAATATGGGACTCTTTCCTATATGAAGGACCAAAGGTGGGTGTGCTCAGCCGAGCTCTCCTCAGACATCCATCCGCGATGGCTGTGTGACAGGCAGTGTCCATGGGTGAAGAGAGGCTGGTTCACCTGGAACTCATGAGGTTAGCGTAGCACAGAGTGCGCTTGGCATACTGTACCACTGGCGGGCTGGAAAACACTCATTTGTTCATCCCTGGAAAAGTCTGGGCTGGGCGTGAGGCTCAGGAGTCCAGCACTTGCTTGGAGTGAGTGGGCCCTGTGTTCAGTCACACAAAAAAATCAGTGCTGGGCCCTGGGAACTTTGATGGTTTGTGGTCCGAGCCTCGCCTTCTGTTGGTATCCCCACTGTGTGCATGAGGAGCTGAGGCCAGGGATCTAAAAAGCACAGAATTGGGGGCAAGCTCAGGGAAGCCAGCTTCAGAGCTGGCTCACTACCCGTGAGCCTCCCAACTCATCTGTTGTGTGAAAAATTCGGGTTTTGCCCGAGTAGTACATTTACAAATGAAAACGTATAACTACAGGTATGTCATGGGGTCCTTCTTGTTGCTCTTCTCAACTTGTTCTAGATCCTTCTCAAGGTGCTTTATGCATATCTAAAAAGTTCGTTTAACTGCTGTCCATTAGAGATAATTTCATAGCAGAACACCCGGGTCTGACGCATACGTTTTGTGTAACTAGTATTCCTTGTACACATGAGCCAGAAGTCCACACAGCAGCGCCCCCAGTTGCTTGCCACTGCAAACTGACTCTCACTGCACCAACTCTCCTGAGTCTTGCCTTTCTCTGTGTGAGCCAGGGCCACTGTAGGCTCAGCCCAGAGCTAGAAGTGCTGGGCCGAAGGCTAGTCCATCCATGGTGTGGAGGCAACGCACATTGCCCTTGTCAGCTTATACTCCCATGGCAGCTCTGGAGTGTGCATTACCCCAGACTCAGGCTTAGAGTCCAACATGGCGCACTGCCAGCTTTATAATCAGCCCACCATTACTGCAGAGAGCTTTGACCAGGGTGTAACTTTGCTCCTTTTGGGCCATGGGTAAGGGTGTGAAGAGGATGAGGACCAATTCGGCTCCCACAAATAACATTCTCTAAGCAACAAAGTGCAGCTTGGCCCAGGCCACCAGGGCCCTCAGATGTGGAGAAAGCAGCTTGTTCCAAAGCTGCCTGGATGCAAAGCCTTTCAGAGGTGGCTTTCCAGGCGGTGCTGCTGCTGCTGTTGGGTGAACCCTCTAGGACAGGGGGAAGTCCAGCTTCCCCAGTGCATTCCCCAGTCTCAAACAGAGGCCTCAAACCAATCAGTGAAGGTACTGATTGTCTTCCACCATACCCAGTTAGGGATCCAGATCCTCGGGCACTGCCAAGGTAGAAGCTGCTTCTGGAGCTAGTTTTCCCAGACTTTGAGAGTCAGAAACCATTTTGATTTCATGTAAAAATGTCTTCTAATCTGTTTTCTTTCTCAGCTAGAAATGTCAGCTGAATACAAGAGGGTTCCATCAAAGTCTGCTTACTGCACAGAGGAATTTTTGGTTTGGGCTAATTTTCCTGTGGAAACCACCCCTCAGGTTGTGTCTGTCCCAGATGGGGCCATACTAGGCACTTCCTGGGGGAGGCCTTCAGCCCTCCATTCCAGAGTCCAGGCGTGTGCCTGGAGCCATTGTGTGTCTCCACTAACAGGCTTCCCGGCCTTCCCACAGGTTATTTTCCGTTTTGCCCTGGCACTTTTTAAATACAAGGAAGAGGAGATCCTGAAACTGCAAGATTCCATGTCCATCTTCAAGTATCTCCGCTACTTCACTCGCACTATCCTTGATGCTCGGTGAGTCCCCAGAAGTCAGGAGAGCAGGACACCTGGCCTCCCTCCTGTCCTGTCCTTGCTGTCTTCAGACTCAGAGCCATCCTGCCATTCCAAGTGAGAGAGAGAAGGAAATAGGAAGGGCTGTGGCCTTGCAAAGACTAGAGAGGAACTGAAATGAAGGTGGTTTTATCCTTTACCCAAAAAACAAGTCCCTCCTTGCAAACACAGTAGTCTGACACTTCTGCAGCATTAGCTGAGTATCTGCTGTGTGGAGGGCCTGTGTCAGGCACTGAGACGTCAGGTGAGGAACAGCTCCTGACTGGAAAACCTTGTGGGGAAACAGGCCTCCTTGGTTATGCCATGACAGGGAAGCCCAAGCTGGAAGAGAACTGGGTTGAAAAGGGGGCAGCTAGGGACAGTGTGCTGGGCAGAGGCACCACAGGGCAGAGGCCTGGGAGTAAAAGTGTTTGGGAATGGTGGAAATGCACAGCCGGGTGAGTGCCAGTGTACCTGGGCTCATGGCTGGGCTGTAGCCCAGCTGTACCGTCCAGGCTCTTGTACACTGTGCTGAGGCTTGGGACTTCATACTAAGAGCGCTGGGAAGTCACTGCAGGGTTAGGCAAGAGACAGACATGTCAGATTGGGGCAGGACTGGCTGCTGAAAGACCAGGGGTAGTGGCTACTAGAAGGGTCCAGGGAAGAGATGTAGAGAGAAGTGACCTCAGAGACTGAGAAAGGGGGGCACACTGAAAAGAGTAGAGGATTTGAACTTGGAAGAACCCTAGGTTTCTGACTTTGGTAGCCAAGTGTTCATGAATCATTTTGCCCTGTCCCTACCCAGCCATATGGCTACTTCCTGTTCTGTACTACCCTTGTCCCCATGTCCCCTGGGCCACAGTTGGCTGCTCTGGCCCTGCTCTGAAGTGGACACTGGCAGCAGAGGTGGCTGACTGAGGCCATTCCAGACTTGAAGGTCATCACTGTTAGGAATTTCCTCTTGGAAATGTGTTTTTAAGTCAGGCTTGTTGGTACACTAATATGACTTGGTTTCTGCCCAGTGAGAAAGGCTGTCTGAGAATAACACTGCCTGGGGTAGGCCCTGAGGGGTTTTGTTAAATCTCACGTTGGTTGGGTTTAAATTGACAGTGAACTCCCTCATGGCAAGCACTAGTGCTGGGTTGAGAGTTATCAGTTCTGGAGGACGACCCTTGACAGACTGGGCTGATTGTCGGCTGCCTGAGGAACACTCCCTCCTCCCCAGTCAGCCAGCCCTTCCTGTCTCCACCCAGCCCAACTGTGCAGCTTGCACCCTGCTTGCATGGGCCTGCAGCGCCACCTAGTGAGCGGCTCTGGCTTTGGAAAGTCAGCCACCAGAACTCTTGTTCCCAAATATTTCCAGAGTGCCAGCAGCTTGCCTGGCATCCCTTGTTAAAACCAAGATGCCTTGGCCCCTCCATGCTGGAGCCCAGTGGTTCAAGAAGTACACCACATTGATTGATGGTTCCCAGGAGCAGCAGTGCTGTGGCACATTGGTTGGTCTTACAAAGGAGGGAGGGAGGGAATTCTGTAGCCAGGTGCATTGAGGAGAAGTTGGGAGAAACCATGTTGTACAGGACTTCTGGGAGCCCCAAAGGGCCAAGCATCACAGGGCAGTGTCCGATTTCCCCAAGTACCTCAGCCTGGGCCAATGTCCAGTCAACTCCTTCTGATCAGAGGAGGAGTAAGGAAAGTAGTCATTTCATGTCCTGGTGCAAAAAATTAGGTCTCTGAGCCTGTGGCTCATAACTGTGAGAAAGCTCCTGGTGCCCAGTCCTCAGCCAGCATTTTGTCTCCCAGAGATCCTCCTGAGCCACATCAGGAGAGCTAGGCACAAGGCAGCAACCTGGGAAGTCCACTTTCAGGTCACTGTGGCCAGACTTGCCCTAACCTTGGGCTCATCTGTGCTAGAATACACTGGGATCATGGCCTTTTTCCGCTTCATCTCCTTGTAGGAAAATCCGCTAGATTAGAAGTAGGTATGTCTGAAGAGGAGGTGTTGTAAATATACAGCAAGGACATCCTGTAGTCTTCACTCATACACCCGTGCTTAAGCGTAGCCCAAGCCGCTGAGCAGTGCCTGGAGCAGATGGCTTGCCTCTGATGGAGACAGGGTGGAAGAGCTTATAACATGGTATTCCATCCATCTCGGCCTTCCTGGGACCCTCGAGTTCATGGGGCCTTTGGCTGACAGGCAGGGAATGAGCTCCTGCTGTTGGGAAGTAAGGCTGCTGGGCCTGGCAGAGTGAGGCGGAGGAAGGGGCCCCTGAGCGCTAGAAAGCGTAGCCAGGCCTCAGGATGAGTCTCAGCTCTGCTTTTATTGAACTTCTGACCAGTGGTTAGAGGCGAGTTATCGCAGCTTTAAAATGTACTGTCACTTGGTGCCATGGCCTGCGGGTGATGTGAAATCCTCAAGCTGCATGAGTCTCTGTAGACTTCCTGGCAGTGGTCACACTGCTGATGGGACTGACTGTCGTTACCAGCTTCGCTCGGGCATTTGTCTGTGTCTGGTTGATCCCAGGCAGAGTCTCCTTAGTACCTGCAGTGTCTTGCCTGGCACTGGCCATGCAGACTCCTAGTCATTAGCAGTTGCCGAAATTGAGCAAGACTCAGGCGCTGTTCCCAGTCAAGGAACCAAGTACCCCCCACGCCCAGGGAGGTAACGCTCCTGTTACCCCAGTGTGCAGCTGAGGAATCAGACCAAAAGGGGGGCTCACCCCCCCCCAGTCACACACACATGTGGTAGAGGTGGAATCTGAGTCCAGGCAGGCATTCAGGCCTTCCCCTCAGCCACCGTACCTCCTTGCCTCCATGCAGGAGGCAGGCCTGGCCTCCCAGGGTGACATTATTGCATCAGTCCCAGCACAGGTGGCGCCCCTTACACCCTGCCAGGCCTGTGGGCTTTGCTGTAGTGGTTGCAGTGGTGCCATGTGAGCTCTCACTGAGCTCTGCCCTTTGTCCCTCCAGGAAACTGATCAGCATCTCCTTTGGGGACCTGAACCCCTTTCCCCTGCGCCAGATCCGGAACCGGCGTGCCTACCACTTGGAGAAGGTCCGGCTGGAGCTGACAGAGTTGGAAGCCATCAGAGAGGACTTCCTACGTGAGCGGGACACCAGCCCTGACAAAGGCGAGCTGGTCAGTGACGAGGAGGAGGACACCTGAGTGGACCTCCACCCCAGGATGCTGTTCTTCTTGTCTTCACAACCAAAGTGTGCCAAAAAGGATGACTGCAGGGACTCTGCTCATTTAAATGCCAGAATGTAACATAGTGGCCTTGGGACCTGCCAGGCAGGTGTCCAAACCCAGGCTGCACTTTCTCATTACCCACTGGGGGCAGGGGCCGACCTGTTCACAGCCACCTCCACGGCATGCATTTGATCACACACACCACAGTCATGCTTTCTGCTGGTGGGCGACACTCTCCACGGTCACCAGTCAGCTGTTTCTGAGAGTCTGTTACATCATCTGCAGTTGTGTGGCGTTTCAACTTTCGAGAACTGTCCTTTGCAGGGCACTCCCCATGTTCTTTCTTTGTACATGGCAGGCAATTGTGTGCAAGTTTTAAACTGCAGCACTGCAGAGGATGCACACGGCTTCAAAGCGTGGCTGCTGCGTCAGGTGGCAGAAGGTCAGTGTGAGAAGAGGGACTTTCTAAGAAAAGCAAGCACATCCCTTGTTCAGAAGCAGCCTCTGCAGAAAGCTGGAACCTTCTGCTGATGGCTGCAAGCTGCCAGCCCCACTCACTTCTGGAGTACCTTTTCCCCTCTTGTGCACAGCCTTCCACACTGGCTCCCACCTGTATGGGACCTGGCTGTGCCATCAGCTCCCACTCTTCTCACTGCCATCTGTGCTTGCATGTCAACACCTGCTCTGTCCCATTTCGCCCTGAGCCTCTGCAAAAGCTCTTTCCTTTGGAAGCTGACTTGTGGAAGCTGTTCTCCAAGTGTAGCTGGGTGGGGGTTCCAAGTAAACTGCAAAGCAGGCCCAGCCCTGGCATGGCCCTGGCTGAGGGGACAAGAAGCCTTTCGGGGGTGGCTTTGCAGGGCAGTGGTGCAGCTGCTGGGTGAGCCCTCCTGGACAGTGGAAACCATAACTCCCGGATGGCCAGGTCTTCTGGTACTTCCTCTGCCTAGCCAGCAGTTAGGGAAGGCCTACAGCTACCAGTGTTCTGACCTTAGAAGCACATTGTTTGGGACCAGGGCTTGAGTGAGCTCTCCCATACAGTCCCCTCCACACTGCTACCCAGAATGTCCTCAGCCAGGATTGGGGGGTCACTGTGGTCTCTGACATGTTAGTCTGCCAGGACAGTTTGAAACCTGGAGAGAGGTTATGAGCAAGGAAGGCCATTTTTACTTATTCCCACTGGGCCATCCCTGATGTGTGGGTGACGTGAGAGAGCATTTTCTGGCACAGTGTTATTTGAACACAAGAGAAACAATCATAAATGGAATATCTTACACTAACTAGAAAAAAAGTCGGAAATAATCCATAGTTAGTATAAACACAGTCAGACTAAGAATTGAAGCATGGCAGTTTCAAGAAGTGCTTTTTCTGTAACTAGGGTTTTCCTATATTTTACTGTCAACTTTCTAGTAGTTTTAGGACTGAGTTGATATTTCAGCAGAGAAGTTGCTTTATTTCTGACTGTAAAAGGAGCTGGTTTCTACATTTAGCCAAAAGCCTTTGCCTCTTCAGGCGTCAGAAGTACGTGTTAGCCTGCGGCCGTCTTTGGGAGTGGCTGTTGGAGGCCTGGCTACTTGAGGGAGCTGTGAGCTGGCAGTGGTCTCACCACTATCCTCTGGGCTTCTGGGACCAGATGCTGGAGCCCCCCACTGCCACCCTGAGATGTGCGCCATCCGGGGACAGCTGCCGAGGAGGCGCAGTGGGACCGCTCTGATGCCCTCAGTTTTCAGTTCCCAGAGACACTACCCCAAATATGTGTTGGGGCTGACATTCTCCCCTTGGGATGGGCTTGTTTTCTCTGGCTCGTCCTAGGAAGACATATCTTAAAAGCATCTGCTGGGGCTGGGGTATAGCTCAGTGGTAGAGCACTTGCCTGGCATGTGCAAGGCCCTGGGTTCAATCCCCAGCACTGGAAAAAAAAGAAAGAAAAGCACTGGTAGGGGTGGTGGGGGCACCAGGACTGGAGCTGTGTTCAGGCAGCTGTCTTCTGTAGGAGGAGCAAGAGAGACCCCGCCGGGAGGCTCTCCTCCCTGAATACAGTGTTCCATGTCCAGAGGGCTGAGAGGGAGTGGTTGGCCTGCTTCCAGTTTGAGGACAGGGTGGGGTTGACTCCTCTCAGAGCTCTGAGTCCCACACTTCCCTTTCCCTCATCCACCGAGGAGAGACCTGCTTTTACCGCCTCGAGGTCCCCTACCTCCACTGGCCACCCTGGCAGGTGCCCCTTCTGGCAGGGGCTGCCTCACGCTGCTGGTCATGCAAACCTTAGCTCAACACACAGCTCGTGGCCCCTGCATGGTGGTCCTTGCCGGCTGAGAAACCCAAAGATAGCCTCCGGCCTGCTGGCCCAAGTACACATGCCAAGGTGAGGGCAGCAGCCTCACCTCACCATGGGAAATGCAAACTTCAATCAGTGTGGTTTTATCTGTTGAACCTGTTAATACTTTTGTGTATTTTCACTACAGTTTATATTTTTATAGACTATATTTTATCAAGGTTTTTCTAGAGTCTGTACAACTATTTTATATAACAAGTTCTATTTTATGTGCACAACTGCCTTGTGGGTATTTATGTAAACCTGAGCCTCTCAAATTGCTCTTCCCTTGTGTGCCACCTTTTACCTCTAGCCTCTGTCACTGACGCTCCCTTCTGCTCATGCCAGGTAGCCTTGGGGGCTACTTGTAGTAATGTGACAGTCGAACCGTAGCAGCCAAGACAATTACTGGAAGAATTCAGGTTTCAGCTGCGTTACATTCACATAGGAAGTTCTCCAGGCAGTGCCCGGTAAGGTTTAATTGGATGGAAGTCCCCTCACGTTGCACAGTGCTGTCTTCCCAGGTGCCGGGTCTCTGGGCGGCTGGGCTGCCCCGGGAGTCCCTCAGGTGGAGGCTGGATGCAGGAACCCGTGCATGCCACTCAGTGTCCACCTCCGCTGGGTAGCTGGAGGACACAAAGGGGTGCTGCCAAGTGACTGTCCTGTTACATCACAGCAGCTTCTGTGCTGATCTTCAAGTCAAAGTATGGAATTGTAAAGGAAGAAATAAACTAATTTGTATAACACTCTGCTTTGGAATGCAGTGTCACTTGTGATGGCCCCAGGGCTTGGAGAGTGGGGCAGGGACTATAGGGGCCTCTAACCTGCCAACCCAGGAATTCTGGGTTTTCCCACCCTTGGCTTTAGTGGGGCAGATATGACATGATGACTGTCAGCAGTGGTAGCCCTGGGAAGCTCCAAAAGCTGTGGCAGAACTGCCAGCAAGGACTGTGTGCAGAGGTGTAAGCCACGGAGCAGGTCACTGCTTGTGTCTGGAGAAGCCCCCCAGAGGACAGACGCCATTCTCCTCCTCCAGCTGTGTGTGCCCAGCCTGAGTCATTGCTTGTTTGCCTCCTGCCTAGCCTGACAGCTCAGCCCAGTGCCACTGGGGACGCCCCCAGTCATGGCTGGAAAAACAAGAATGATTAAGACCACGTTTTTCCACGGGGGGCACTGGGAGGGCGGCTCCCACAAAGATTCCCAGACAGGACAGGCAGGGCCTGGGAAGCTGCTGTCCTCTCGGGACATGGATTCAGTGAGCCAGTGGTTCCCTAGGCCACAGAGTGCAACGGTAATGCCAGGCTGGGATGGGGACCCCAGTGTTCTGCTGCTGTGCTAGGCCCTGCTCCCCATCCTGTGAGAGAGGTGCTGCTAAGAGCAGCTTGGACTAAGCCCTGGGAAGCCATTACTCAGAGCACGGGTCCCCAGGGCCATCTTGGGCCAGTAGGACTGCTGCAAACACAGGAAGTAAGTCTGATGTTAATCCATCCTCAGCATTGTCGTGTGAGCCCCTGGTGACTTGCCTTCCTGAGTGACCTGACAGACCTGTTCTGGGCAGAGCCTCTGGAAATGCCTGCTTAGAGTCTTCTTCCTGCCTGGCCAGAGGGGTCCACAGCTGAGGGCAGCCCAGAGCCCAGCGAGTGACATCCAATGTGCCCTGAGGGGCTACAACCCCCCCACCCCCCCCACCCCCGTCCAGTGCCCTCATGCTGCTTGCTACATGCGTGACTTCAGAGACCTGTGCACCTTAGTCTGTATGCTGGAGGACAAAATGCGAGAGGGTCCCCTCTGGGAACCTCAGTACCACAGAGTTGGAGAAGGGGCATAACACCTTTCGGGAGGGGGACTTAGGAGAAAGTGGTGAAAGGCCCAAGCCCAAAGCTCACAGCGAAAGGGGCAGGTATGGGCAGAGCTTTGGAGGGGGGAGGACAGTGTGCAGCCACTCCCCGCCTCTCTGCCCCTGGCCAGAAGAGCACCTCTGTGCTCAGCTGCTCTCTGGGGTGTGTACACCGTGGTCTGGCTCTGAGCAACTAGGTTTTACAGTGGAGAAGGGGTCAGGTAGCTGGAGTCACCCCTGAGCAGTGAAGATGAAGGAAAGGGACAAGTGGAGACCAAGGGGCAATGTAGGTCAGTCTGCCCTTCCCCCTCCACAAGCTTTGTGCTGAGGAGTGAACAGAGCAGAGGGCCAGGCAGGTGCCCATAGGCATTCCCGACCCCATCACTACTGCGCCAGGTGCAGGTGACAAGGCGGGCTCTGCTGCTTCAGAGTGCGTGGCTTGATCCCTGTGAGCCGGAAGTAAGGAGTGTGGAAGAGAGGCTAGTGACCCCGACTCCCTGGGCCTTTGCGGAGCTGTATGGACACGCCTTCCGTTCTTACACTCGCTGTGCCCCTCCTCGGGGACAGGGGCGCAATCCCGCAGAGGGTGGAGGGACATCGGGGGACGACTTTGGCAAATGCGTGATTCCCCAAATCCAAGACAAGGCCAAGCAGTACTTTGGAACGGTAGATGCTCATTTATGTAAAATAATAGCAATAACAAATGTTGCAAACTGTTAGAATAAAAAAATACCTTTTCTGAGGGGGAGGGGTCCCCAGCCTGCCGCTGGGCGGGGTTAGCACCATTAGGGCGCGAGGGGCGGGGCTCCGCCGCACCCGTGGTGGACACTGAGGTCTGTGTGTCTTGGCGCGCGGGTTGCCGGCCGGGACTCTGGTCAGCGGCGGGCCACCCGCTGATGGCCTCGGGATGGGACACCCCGGCCGTGCGGAGGGCATGAGCGGCAGCACTGGGCACGGATGGTGGGCAACTGGCAGCGACCCAGCAGGCGCAGGGTCTCACAGAAACCAAAGGACAGACGATCCCGCTCACAGCCTGGGGAAGAGGGAGCGGGGCAGGCTGTCAGGGATTTGGGGCTAGAAGCCCAAAATCACGCCTTGTGTCCAGGGCGAAACTTCCCTGGATTTCTACTTCTGCTGTCTTGCCTCCCATCCCCACCCCAACAGTCTTAAGATGACAGCAGCCAACCCCAGGGCATAGGGCCCTCCAGTTTCCAGAGGAGCTCCCGTGGACCTTGGAGTGGCAGGTCACCAGCTGCTGCTGCCCCTGTCCCACTTGCCCTGGGCCTACCCCCAGGGCTTGGGAGAACCAGCACTGCTGGGCTATTTTCTGCAGAAAAAGTCCTGGGATCCCATACCTGAGCAGCTTAGAAGCCATGAAAAGCCAAAGAGCCTGCCCAAGGGAATGTTCTCCTGTCCCCACCCCTGCCTCCATCCCTGCTTAGCCTTGGTACCCAAGAGACCCTGGCACACAACTGAGTCTCAGGAACTTCCCCCAGCCTGCGTTGGTCTCCATTCCTCACCCCAGGCCTCCATGACCAATCCCCCCCATCGCTACCACCATATGGGCCAGACTCAGCCTCTGCTTCTGGGTCAGAGGCCAGAACAGAGCCCCCATCTCCCAGACCAGCCCCTCACTTCTCAGCTGCACAGTGAAGCCCAGAGAGTGGCTGTTTGTAGGGGCCAAGGCCATCAGTGGACACCAGGGACTAAGTTCAGACCTCTGGAGAGGGGAGGACGCTGCAGAGCATCAGGGGTGAGGCCTCATGGCTGCCTAATAGTTATCAGAGCTATTTTGGGAGATGGCTTGTCCCCAGCCTCCTGGCCTGGCTCCAAATGCTGCTGCTGCCGCTGACAGTCCCCAGCTGCCACCCGGGCCCTGCTCATTCCAGCCGACTCCCGGGGGAGAAGGAACAGGAGTACCACAGCCAGCCAGGCCTGGCAGAGGGCACAAGGCAGCAGGTCCAAAGTCAGAATCTGCACACCTGCAGACAGTGTTAACTCCTCAGGCTGAGGTCCCCTCCTATCGATAGCCCGAACCTCTGCAGTTAAGAGGATGTGACCAAGCATGTTGGCTGCCTTGCCTCGGTGACCACAGGCCCTGGAGTTTCCAGGATTTCCAAATATCCCGCCACACAACCCCATGAACATCAAAACACTCCGGGAATTCCAGGGTCTCAGTGTCCAGGATACCTCCCTGGGTGACACCCTACACTTGACAGAAACTGCTCACTTGGACTTGCTCATTGTTCAGCTGCCTAACCATCCCTCTGCCTCCACCCCCCTCCCTGAGCCCATCCTCACCCTGGGAGACCTTGCAAGCCCTACAAGGATAAGCCAGGCCTACCCTTGGTTCTAGGCTTTATGGGGCCTCAGTGGGCCTCAGTTCTTGCCCGCTCCCTCATCTGGGTCCTTTTGGGACCCTAACCACCTGACTCCCTGTCTGTCCTGTGCCCAGTGTGAGGGACAGAGACACTGGCCACCCTCAGCTTTCAAGTCGAATGCTAAATGCTGGCATCCTGCTTGGCTGCCAGGAGGTGTCTGAAATGCTTGCGGGATGGGTGCTGAGGTGGGGTGAGAGGAGGGCAAGCAGGTGCAGGTGGCTGGCATTTCCACCAGGTCTGAGGATTTGAAAATGACAGAGCCATTCCTGCCAGAGGCAGGGACAGGGAGGCATGGCAGTAGCCACTCTGGTGCTGAATGAAGGCCACTAGAAACCAGGAGCTGGTAGAGATGTCTATGTTGAGGCAAGGGAGAGAGAGCAGATTAGGGCAGATACCCTGCCTGACAGTGGTGGGGATGGGGACAGGGAGCCAGAAGGCATAGGAGTGCCACTCTTCACACAATGCAAGCCTCTGCATTCCCTCAGCTGTCACAGGCGGCCCTGAACTCGCCCTGACTTTGACTTTGCGATGGCCAGGGGCTGTCGTCTGCTTAGACAATGCTGGGTCTCTCATCCCTCACCCCACTTAGGCAAAGGTGATGGTTGCTGACTCCTCTGAGCATGAGGAAACGAAGCCAAGAGAGAGAAACAGAGCCCAAGGCCACACAGCTGCTGAAGGGTGCCCAGGTGTGACTCCAAGGCCACACTGTTTCCTGTGCTTAAGCACCACTGGGAGTAGCAGGAAGGAAGGGGACTGTCCAGAGGCATCTCTGGCTCATCAGGCCCTTCTGCTAGTAGAACCCAGCTGGCCAGGAAGCTCACAGCAGCTGGAAGCTAGCAGACCCTGGGAGGGAGGCCCTTCCGATGGCCCATTGCTCACTCTAGGCGGTCTGGGAAAGGGGCTCGGCTCACTCACGTCCAGTCTTTAGACTGGGGACATCCTGGCCTCACAATGGGGACTGAGACCCAGAGGCAAAAGAGAGCTTGCCTGAGTTTACTCAGCGTAAGGGCCAGGCTGCTCCCTCCACTCCAGAAGTTAGTATAGCTGCTTGCAGGTGCCTGTGTGGCTGAGAGTCCCCTTGGATCTGCCTGACCCCAGCTTCTGTGGCACCCTGTGGCCTCACGATTATGGTGCCACGTGGCTCTAGAGCCCAGACTACAGATGGGGCCAGCCGTTGTTGTGGGGCCATAGTTTCACCAGTCCCCACTTCCCTGCCATTCTCCTCATCCCACTCCACCCACAGCAGAGAACCCAGACTGGGGACACTCACGTGGAAGCTCCACCAGCTCACAGTCCTCTGTGCCACAGGGACGGGAGCTCTCGGGCCATGGCTCATGACCACACTGGTCACTGTCTTCTTCAGGCAGCCCCGTCTGGGTGTTGACACATCTAACCAGGCGTCGCTGGACACCACCACCACAGGGGGCCGAGCACTGCACAGGCAGGGAGGGCAGTGAGTGTCCTCAGTCCTCATGGTGAGGGATCCCTGGGGACTGTCACCTCCTCTACAAAGCCATCCCTGCCTCTGTGCCTGACCAGCCTTCATGGAAGGCCTGGTCCTGCTCCCAGAGCCCACAGAGTACTGGGATCCAACTTGTCCTGCAGATCTGTTGTGGAAAGTGGTGGGGACAGAGCAGCAGGGAAAGTCATCAGAGCCACATGCCTCACACCCACCTGCTCGAGAGGGCTGGGCAGCATGGGCAGAGACTTGGATGAGGCACCACAGTGCCAAGAGGAGGGGACAGGGTGAGGATTTGCTGCAGCCCGTGGGCAGCAGAGAGGAAAAGGCAGAAACCAGGACCACTGTCCTGAGCTAGCCTATGTTCTTACCAGCTTGGGGAAAGGGCTTTGAAAAGCCCTAAGACATGGTACCAGGTTCTACTTCATTTAATCCTCCTCCCCCAAGCTGTTCCCATTTTACAGATGGGAAAACAGTGGCCCAGCAAGGCAAAGCAACCTGCAGCGAGGGAACAAGGACTCAAACCTAGGTCCAGCTGAGTCCAGGGACTGGCCTTAGGAACCAAATCTGAGATTCCTAAGCCTTTCACCTCCAAACAGGCCTGGCTGAGGTGTTCTGTCCCACCAGGGGCCCCTCTTCCATCCTCTTGACCACTCTGGCCTCAGGACTTTGCAGTTGCCATTCTCTTCATCCCACTCTTTGGTATCACTCACTACTCCTTGGGTCTCAACCCAAAGTCCCCTTCTCCAAAGGCTTTCCTTGACATTTTTCCTCCATCTGTTTTTCCCTGGCAAAGTGCAAGGACTTCACCTGGTTGCCACTGTATCTGCAGTGGCCACAGAGAGCCTGGCACACATCTACCACCTCGTTTTTCAATGACTAAGGACCCCTTGGATGCCTGCTGAGGGCTTGTTCCTGATCCTCACCTGGCCCCAGGGTCCTACCACCCACTGCGTGCAGGGGTGGGTGTTGCAGGGCCGCGTGGCATTGGGTCTCAGCGACTCCTCGCAAAGGCCTGGTTCTGGGCATGTCACCAGACGCTGCTGTTCACCGCCACCACAGGCCTCAGAACACTGGGGGGGCAGGGGAGACATCAGGCGAAGCTAGGGTGTGAGGGTGTCCCCAGCCCCTGCCCAAGATTCCCAGGCCTCACCTCCCTCCAGGAAGAGATGTACCAACTGAGGCAGGGCTGGGCCCCACAGGGCTGGCGGGAAGGTGGCTTTGGAGGCCCAGGCTGGCAGTGGAAGGGTCGCAAGGGCCGGAGGTCTCGTGTGTCCACACACTGCACATCCCGCACTGAGAAACCCCCACCACAGTTGCGGGAGCACTGGAAACAAAGGGGCCGTGTGTTCACACACGCAAGGCCAGGTGAGGCCCAGGGAGAAGCCAAGATGGGCAACCCCAGACAGCAGGTGGCAACGCCCCAGGATGGGACAGATGGAGAAAGATGGGAACACAGGGGAGCTGGTGAAAGAAGTCAAAAGGGAGTTGGGAAGTGCAGAGGAAAGGAAACAGCTGACAGGAACAGGCTGGTCCAGGCCAGGCCAAGGGAAGATGAAGATTCGAGAGAGATTAGCGAGGAAACACAGTCAAGTGCAATGGAACATGGAGCTCCCCCCTCCCTGCTGGTAGCAGAACCCAGACCCCTCCCTCACACACCTTACTCCAGTTGCCCATGTGCCAGGCAGCACAGGGCTGCAAGTGGCAGCGACGGGCAGGCTGGGGCCGGCCTTCAAGGGCACAGTCCTCATCCCGGCCAGAGCTGCAGCGCACCAGCCTCCAGACGGCACCCAGGCCACAGGTGGTGGAGCACTGTGGGAGCAGAGACCGTGAGCACTGCTGAACCCCGGCCCTGCCAGCCCCCATATCCAGGGCTCTGCCCCACCTTGGTGAGTGAGGTCTTAGCCAAGCCAGATCCCACTTCTGGCCTGTTTCCTCATCTGAAAGATGGGCGGCTCCACCCACCTTCTAAGGAGACTGAGAAGAGTCAAATCCTACCAGCAGCCAACTGTGCCTGCTCACAGCAACCTGCAGGGCTTTAAAGGAAGTCCAGACCCTAGCCTAGCAGCCAAATTGCTGGTAACCCCAGGCAAAGTCGGCCCTGGAGGCCTCCCACCTCAAAATTAGGAACCCAGACAGAAGGAACTGGCTTCTCCTACAAGAACAGTCTGGGGACCTGAATGGGCACAGGCCAGCTTCTCGCCACATATGCCCAGACCATCTCTGAGTCCCAGACAAAGAGGGGCGCCACTGAGGGGACAGCCAGGTGTCAAAGGCCTGAGCAGTGCCTGGGACCCACAAGAGGAAGCTTTCCATCCCAACGCCACTGTCTGCTGTCTTGGGAGAGCTCCCAATCCTAGGGGTTCTCAGCCAGTGTGAGGACGTCCTGGGCTGCACCTCATTTGTGCCTGCCACTGCCTTCTCTGAAGCCCCAGGACACAGGCAGATGGGGTCCGCACTCCACTGCCACTGCTCAGATGGGAAACTGAGGCCCAAAGGGGCAGACTGGCCTCAAGGCCACATGGAGGGCCACGTGGAGCTCCATGACTTAGCCAGGGCAATGGTCTTCCTGCCTCATGGAGCGTCTACCTACTGTGGCAGTTTCCCAGTCCTAGAAGTCCCTGTCCCACCCCTCCAGGGGCAGGATGGATAGGGCTGCTTTGCTAAGTTCCAGATGAGGAAACCGAGTCCCTGAGGTCCTATTCACACTAAGCCCCAGCCCCCCGGCCCTGCACCACTTGCCTGGCTCCAGTTCCCCACTTGCCAGGTGGCATTGCTGGCAGGCAGGAGGTCCGCGGGAGACCCATTCTGGGCCTGGTCAGGCCCCAGAGGCTGGGCCTGAGGGGCTCTGCTGTTGTTGGCAGGGCTGTCCTGAGCTGGTGTGGACAGCAGTCCAGGGCTCAGGGGCTCCTCAAGGCTGGGGGGTGCGGGCTGGCCCAATGGGTCGAGGCTCAGGGGTGTCACCCAGGGCATGTACCCTGGATCAGTCAACACTGTGGAAAGGAAGGTCCCCGGTTCGGCCAGGGTCTGCAGGTCCCGTGCGCCTAGTCCTGGAGTTGGAAAGGTGGGAGTCCCCGGCTCCTGGAGGCTATCTCTGTCCCAGGTTCCTGCTGCAGTGGAGGAAGGAGGAAGAGCCACTCCCCATGGTAGGCCACAGCTCACCAGGCACAGGTTTTGGGTCACCCTCTAGCGGGGGATCCCAGGCCACAGTTCCTCCTGTCCACAGCTCTACCATGTCAGAAATAGGAGAGGCATGGGTAGAGCTAATGGGAGATGTAGGGACGGGGCTTTCAGGCGGGTGGGATGTCCTGTGGCCTGGGGATTTCTCATCGTCCTTGGAAAGTTCTGTCCTGCCCCACCGTGCAGGGGGTGGCTGGCTCTGGCTGTCCTCCCTCACTAGCAACTCATCTGGGTTCCCAGGAGCAGTAGGAATCTCCATGTCACCAACTGCAGCAGGGAGTCGGGTGAGGCTGGGGAGTCCAAGATCAGGAGCTACCATGGAGGCATCTCCCTCGGAGAAGAAACTGGCCCAGGGGTCCCCGGGGGTCTGCTCCAAGGACGGGGGTGGGGAGTGGCCAGTCTGGGTGAGCCAAGGGCCAGGGGACCAAGTTCCCTCTGTCCTTTCTTTCTCAGCACCAGGAGCCTCTGTGGCAGGCATGGGGGTATTGAGGAGGGGCTCAACAGGACTGCTCCTTGGTAGGGGCATCCAGTCCCCTGTGTCCACCAGGTCCGGGCTAGGCTCCTCGAAGGGCCCGTAGGACAGATCCTCATGGAAGTTAATGAAGTTGTAGTCATAGTAGAAGTCATCCACAAACACGGGCTCCGGCGGGTCCAACCCTGGAGTCTCCTCTAGGATGGCATTGCTCATGCTGGTTGGCTCAGGTGAGGAGGAGGGCGAAGGGTGCGGGGCCAGGCGGCGTGGGATGAAGTCCACCTCATTGAAGAACTCATGATTAGAGGAGCCACTGCCAGAGCCATCAGGGCCCAGGGTGTCCAGGGGATGCAGGCAGGGTGGCAGACGGCAGGTGGCCTCACTTGCTGGTTGCTCAGCCTCATCGCAGGGGATGCCAGTGTCATTGGTGCAAAGGACAAGTCGGTGCCGAGTGCCTGCCCCACACGTTACCGAGCACTGCAGGGAAAGCCACAGTGAGGGGTTTCAATGACAATGCAGTGACCACGGCTTGCCAGGGGCATCCTGATCCCCAAGGCTTTGGGGGAAAGAAGAATGCCCCAAAGGAATGCCCCAGGCCCCCTCCCACCCAGGGTAGTGAGGACTCCGTGCAGGCAGGCTATCAGCCTCCCTGTGGCCAAAGGCCGATGGTGGAGCTGTAGGCAGTCCTCCCCTCCATCCCCCACACTCACCTGAGACCAGTTCCCCACAGCCCAGGTGGCAGGACAGGGCACATGATGGTTGCATGGGGTTTCAGCAGGGGGCTGGGGCAGGTGCTCACAAGCAGACGGTTCCAGGGCACTCTGCTCATCCAACCCCACACTGCGGAGGCAGAGCACAGCCCGGCGGGAGAGGCCCCCAGGCCCACAGGAGCGGGAGCACATCTGCCACTCCCCTGCCCACCACCTGGTGAAGGGCACACAGTAGCATTAGCCTGTCATGCTAGATGGTGGGGACCCATCTAGCGGGGCACTGGTTTCCAAGCTGGGGCCAGGGGCAACCAGGGGCCACCAGCTCACTCCCTGTCCTCCCTGAAGCCTCTAAGGCCCCTGATGTAGGGGCTGCAGCAGAAGCAGGTCCCTTGGGAACCGAGAGCAGCTCACGGGGCAAAGGACTCACCTGGCAGGGCAGGGCTCCTTGCTGCACTTCCTCTGGTGGTCATCAGGCCGATTCAAGGGGTCACAGTGTTCCTCATCCACCAGCCCTGCCTGCTGCTCCATGCAGTACACGCTCTGCCTCTGCACACCTGGGGGCCACAGGGACTCAGCCTGGGCCTGGTACCCTGGGTGCCCCCTGCCCAACTTACCTGGGCAATCAGACTCAGCAATACCTTCTCGGCCCAGACCCTCCTGGAAAAGGCCCACTGCCTACATCCAGGTGAAGGCAGGCCTCTATGGCCTTCTCCTTCCTGTCCTCCCAGCAGCCTCCCCTCTGAGATGCCTTGGGAGGCAGCAGAGTGTGGAGATTTGGAGGGTTGGGTACCCAGCTCCACTGCTTCCTAGTTGGGAAGCCTAGGGCTACTCATTTGGCCTCTTCAAGCCTCAGTCTGTGCAATGGGAATAACAGTAAGATCTGCCTTAAAGCCCTGGGGTGGCTGTTAAATGGGATCATGCGTGTGCAGGCTCAGCCTGTGCCTGGCACAACCTAAGAGCTCGCTCAGCAAGTGCCAGCTCAGGGCAGCTGTGCCCGCCCCTTTTCTTACCTGTGCCGCAGGTGACTGTGCATTTGCTCCAGGGTCCATAGTGCCAGGAGAAGCTGGGCGGCTGGACCTGAGAGTGGCCATCAGCCTCCCTGTGGATGGTATACTCATAGCGCACCCCAGGGTTGCTCTCCTGGAACAGTAGCTGGGGTGGACAGAAGGGGGCCCTGTGAGCATGGGAGTCCCCTCTCTATCTGCACAGGAACTGCCACCCAGAGTAAGCATCCCATAGGAACTGAGCCCAGCCACCTCTGTGAAGTGAGCTATACCATGAGGCCATTTTACAGATTGGGGAAACCGAGGCAGAGGGCCCAGCAGTTGGGGTCTGGGCCAGAGCCAAGCCTGTGACTATCCCTGGGATCCTTCCCAGATCCCCCCTTCCGGGGCCTCATGAGGCAGGTACCTGGATCCAGATAGGCTCACTGGTAGGCCCTGGGGATGTCAGGTTCTCCCAGTTGCCCATGCGCGCGTATGTGAAGGTGGTGCCAGCCACCTGGTAGTCCCCGTTCCACTGGATGGTCCAGCCACCATTGAGGAAGTACTTATCCGGGTCCTCGCTCCGCAGAGCCAGGAAGTTGGCAGCCTCAGCCACCTCCTCGATGATAATCTCACGTGCTCCTGCTGGGATCAGCCCTACATCCACGTATCCTGTTGGCCAAGGGATGTGCACAGGAGTTAGCAGGCCAGCTGTGCTCACGTCCTCCCTCCACTTGCTTCTGCTGCAGATGCCACCATTAGCTTAAAGGCAAATGCTCAATCTGTCCTGGGTCGCCAAAGCCTCCTGCCTCCCTGGCCCATGTCCCTTCACTTCCCTCTGGAGGACCAAACTGGTCTTAGTGTCAAAAATATGGTCGACCCACTGTGATCAAGGCCCATATCACCTTTCCAAAGTCCCAAACGCCTGACCTTTCTCCTGCACCCTCCTCAACCCTCCACGCTCGTTTTTGTTCTGTTAAGTGACACCTCTCCTGGCCACTCTCCACTAAGCACTGTACCTGTGACTGCAGGGTTAACCACCCGTAACATAGGCACTATGGCTATCCTACTGCCCAGATGAGGAAACAGGTGTGGGAAGGTTAGGTAATTTGCAGGCAGGTCCTGCTGAGATGCGAATCTGGTCTGTGCAGTAGCCACAGGCTGTACTCCATCTCTGGGATGAAATTTAAGGCTTTGTGGCCTGGAATTCAAAGCCCCATAGCTATCCTGTCTCTCTCACAGGTCCCAGGCAGAGCACACACTTTCTTGCTTCTGGCTTTGGCACAAGCTTTCCTCCATCTGGGCCTTTGTCATTCAATTCAACCTCCACCTCCTACAGAAGTCTGTCCTGACCTGTCACTTTTCCAAAATCGTAAAAACGCCTGGCCTTTCTCCTGAACCCTCCCCATCCCTCTACGGCTTCTTCCTTGGTGTCTCTCTGCCCTCTGAGCTGTGCTTGTCACAGTGAAAGTTTCTGTCACCATCAGACTGTGAGCTCTTCACCTCTATGTCACCTAGCACACAGATGGCCTTAAAGCATTGTGTGCTAAACAGACCCCAAGGCGAGCACAGAGCTGGGGAGGTCTTGGGAGCTTCATAAAAAAGACAGCTAGCTACCTTCTGGAAACATCAAAAGCCAGACATAAGGCCTGGGTCCCAAGAGGACTCAGGAGGACAGGTGTCCGCACGTGAGCCAGGGTACCCCTGCTCCTGTAAGAACCCTGTGTGGGCAGGGAGTCTCCCTGCTTGTCTGGGTGGAGACCACAGTGGTCAAGGGCAGGAGACAAAAAAGGGACCACAAACTGAAGAGCACACCCTCCCCCACCAGTGGTCCCAACCCGTACCCAGGCCCTCAGCCTCCTCGAAGGTTCCGCTCACGGTGTGACAGGTGGAGCCATTGCCGTGGCACACACCACAGCGGTCTTCTACAGCACCCGAGTCAATCTCAAAGTCACAGCCAACGTTCTGCAACACATGCCAGAGGAAGCTCCTTGTGTTGGGCTGCCAGCCCTCTCTGCCTCCCAGCTCCGGGGTCTGCCAAGGCTGGGAGGAGAGAGCTCCAGTGGGGGTCAGGAGCCCTTTCTCTGGGCCCTGCCTAAGCACAGTTGTGTGGTACGACCCCAGATGAACCCCATTTCCTCTGATCCTCAGTTTCCCAAGTGTGAAAGCAGGGAGATCAACCCATCCCTTAAAGGTAGACTGTGGGACAAGAGACAGGATGTCTTAAAAAGGATTCAGGTGGGCAAGGAAGCTGGCACACCATGGGCTTCTGACCCAGTGTGATGGGAATTTTCCAGAAATAGGATTCATTGTCAAGGCTGCTCCTTGTCTGGCTGCTCCTCTTTGCTGGTCCTCTGAGCCCAGTGGGTTAAAGGGCAAGAAACAGGGGTAAAAAGGTGGCTGGGAACACGGGCAGGGAGGAGCAGCCACCACTGTTACTAGAAATAAGAACAGGCAGTATTGCCCAACGCTGAGCTTTCACTCTGCCGGCCTAGAGTCCTGCACACCACCTGCACCACCGAGGTAACCCCTTCCTATAGGACAGGAAACCATTGCCTGACTCAGCCAGCCAGCAGGAGGACAGGCCACTGCCTGGGTTTTGGTTTGCTGGCTGGGGCCGTGCAGGGCAGGTGTGCCAAGAGAAGCCGTGGGCAGCTGGAGGGGAAGAGGTGGGAAGGTAGCAGTGCAGAGGCTAGGGGTGGGATCTGCAGAGCCAGGAGCAGCGGGGGGCTTAGCCTCAGAGGTCAGAGGTGGCGGGGCTGGTACACCCAATGATGCAGCCTGGGGAGGGTACGATAGAGGACCCAGGAAAGACATGGGGGAGGACATGGTGCCCAGCAGTGGGGCTGGGGGCAGGTGGAGATGGGCGACCCTCTTGCCACCCAGGCACACCTTGCAGATGCCGTTGATGCAGAGGTCACGGCTGGCCTGGCTCTGGTAGCAAGGAGTGCCATCAACCACAGCATCCCTCAGCTTCTCAGCGAAGTACTCCTGGGAGGGCCGGCAGTGCAGCTCGCAGGGGTTCTCTGGGGGCCCAGGAGGAGCAGAGGGCTCATCAGGAACAGCCAGGGCAGGGGTTACAGAGGCCACCAGGGGGACCCCTCTGCGACACACAGCAGTAGCAGGCTGGGGCTCTGAGTATCACTAACCTGCTGGAGGCTGGGTCTGGACAGGTAGCTGCCTGCATGGCTGCAGACTGGGGAGCAGGGAGTGAGCAGCAGCCCCCGGGGACAGTGGGGAACAGTGCAGGGATGAGGATGACGACTGGGCCTCTTGCCTATATCACTGGGTAACCTTGGGCCCACATGTCCCCTGCCCTCTGAGCCTGTGTCCCTGTGGGCAGCAGGACTCACCGTCATTGACCACAGGCACCCATGTGTGCAGCTGGCCCTTGTACAGCATCGCGTCAAAGTGGCTGCACTGGACGTGGCGGAAGGAGGGGCGGCCAGGGGGGCAGGCCTGCAGGTTGCAGAGCCGGAAGCGTTTCCGCTCGCCCACGCAGTACTTGCCCTTGTACTTGGGCCTGTGAGGAGAGCCAGGTGAGGGCACTGCCCGTGCCCACGGTGGAGCTAGATCCACGTCCTCCACTGCCAGAGTCTTGCTACCACCTTTGCTCGCGCTGCCCTGCCCCCCTGGGCTGCCCACCCGTGGACCCAGACACCTGCTCCCTGTTTGCAAGGCCCTAAGGGAAGGTGATAGCAGTAAGCCCAGCCTCTGCTCCACACTGCTGTGAAACCATGGCTGAATGTCCGCTGTCTTCTGGCCTCAGTTTCCCCATCTATAAAACGGGGTGGGGCTGCCTCTGCAGGGGTTGTTGAGAGGCTGGGACACATGGTGGCTGTTACCAGCACTGAGACTCAGCTTCCTAAAGAGTCCAGTGTCTATAAACTCAGGCCAGGTCCAAAGGAAGCCCAAGGCCTCAGTCAGGCAAGAAGCTGCGGGGCACAGCACCTGAACCACACCCCGTCCAGGCCAGATGACTCACCCCAGCATAGCTAGGGTCCAGGGTGGATGGAAGGTCTCGAAAGACAGAAGTGAAGGATGGAAGGTGTGAGAGAGGACCGTTAGTTCCTCTAACGAAGGAACAGGTCACCTTCTGGCCAAGAGCACAAGGCCCAAAATGGGGCTGGCTTCGAATCCCATACCCACACTGGAGGCATAGTGGCTGGTCCAAAGGAGCCAGGCAGCCCCTTGTCTCACTGAGGCTTCAGATCATCCCTTTTAGATGGGGAAACTTGGCCCAGAGAGGTAAAGTCACTCACCCCAGGCCACACAGCCACCCCTTCAGTGCTGCCCAATTCTCCCCACTGCCCCCAATCTTGTCTCAGACCCCTGACATCACTAAGCAGCTCCTGCTGAGTACTTACTACAGACTGGATGCAGAGTGAGATTCCTTGCCTGCTACCTGCATTTACCCCTGATGGCAACTTACTAGGTGGACTCAGCTATTGCCCCATTATACAGCCAAGAAAACTGAGGCCCAGAGAAGGGGAGGTGAAGGAAGGCCCTCTTGCAAGGAGTGGAGAACCCTGAAGCCTCTGAGGCTCAGGCATGAATCACTGCCTTTTTCTACCTCCCTCTAGTCAGCTGTTGCTTTGTCCAACAGTTTCTGATGAGTCCCCTCCAGGCTCTGGGCCTCAGTGTTCCCCCCCTCTGCAATGGGGTCAGCACTGGGGAAGATTTACAGAACACTCCCTGGAAGTGGCCCAAGGTGACCCAGACTCTCTGGGCTTGGCCACTACAGGATCACTTCTAAGAGGTGGAGACTGGGACAGCGCTAAACTCCCTGCAGCTGGCACGCTCTGTCCGGGCACCTTACGCCACCGTGGGTTACACTCACGCAGGGTGCGTACACTGCCGCTCAGCACTGTGTACGCCCACACCACAGCTCCTCGAGCAGACAGACCAGGAGCTCCAGCCAGACCAGCCGCCATCCACAGCCTCAGGTCGGAAGTCCAGAGGGGTGCACTCCCCACCGAGACACCACTGTGGAGACAGATGGAGACAGAGCAAGCCTACCCAACACCCATCAGCCATCCCCACCCTAGTGAGAACAGGGTGGATGGGAAGGTCTCAAAAGACAGAAGTGAAGGATGGAAGGTGTGAGAGGACCGTTAGTTACCCATGACCCAGGCCCCATGGGGAAGCTGGGTGAAGGATGAAATAGAGCCGTGTGTTGACTCTGAGCTGAAGGTGACCTGGAGAATCATGGCTTCAGGGCCTGCCCTCAATGCTGCCATTTTGCAGATGGGGACTTGGGCCAGAGAAGGCCAGGGGTCTGCTAAGGGCACCAGACTGTAAGCTAAGGCTGACCCTGGAGCAGGAGCACAGCAGGAAGTCAGGCTTCCCCCCTCAGCACCCCACAGCATGGGCTGGCAGCCCCTACCTTGTTCTCTCCACAACTGGTGCCATCCACAGCTGCATCCAGCTTGGAGTGGCAGGTGGTCCCCACAGAGCACCAGAGCGTGTGGCAGACATTCTGCAAGGAGGAGGCATTGGCCGTTGCCTCACGCCCTCCCCAGTGCTGCCCACCTATCAGGTTCTGGCCACTGTCCCCAGTGGTCCCCTGGGCATGCCTCCATGGGGACGGCTCATGGGGTTCTGCAGTCCTTTGAGGTCCCCTCTTGTCGTCTGTGTCTGCTTCACCTCCAGTCCCTTCCCTTCCAGTCAAGTGGACCTAGGCCTCCAGGCTCACACAGCTGAGAGCTGTCTCCAACTGTCCACACCTCTCCCAGCCCAGGCCCACACCTCTGGAGAGACTCCAGTCGGAAGCCGTGGGGTCTCCGTCACATGCGTGGCCATGACTTCACATGATTTTCCCCAAAGCGTAGCTTTTGAGGGTCTGGCTCAAAGTCCCACCACTGGTAAAGGTTTGGCTCAGAGTCTAGACCCGGGCCTTGGCCACCCAACCCCAGGCCTCTCCTGCAGATCACTTTATGTCTTGCGGCGTGATGTGGAGGCTGAGCCCTGGCCAGGAAGGGTTTCTCCCGGGTTGGTTGGTGAGGGCTGTCCCCCTGCCCACCCCCGTGCTCATACTTACATCCATGTCATCGCAGAAAACGGAATAGGCCCCATACTGGAGGCGGCACTGATGGTTCACATCATAGAGGACGCCGGGTGGCACTGAGGGGAAGTCAATGACATTCTTGGCAGGAAGGTCATCTAGGCATGCGCCCCATCCGCGGCTGCAGAGATTGGACAGGAAGGCGGGGTGAGGGACTACCTGTCCCTGGGGCAAAAGGATAGCATGTGAGACCCATCAGAGGCTTCGGGGAGGTTGGAGAGGCAGGGAGGGTGGGAATGGGCACGAAGGCCTCAACTCGCACAACTCGTAGGAAGATGCCAGCCTCCACCTGGCCCAGCCACCCTGCAACCCCAGCTAAGCACGGCCCTGCAGGCCCTTGTCATCTCATCTCATCTCCTGGATGCTCAAGCCCGGCTGAACCACCACCTCTGTCCCTATGCCAGGCCTTGGCACAAGTCACTGCCCCCACTGTGCTCCAGCTCTGCTGGTGAAGCCACTCATCCAAAGGCTGGCCCTCTGGGCCCTCCTGTGACCACACTTTGAGTTCCTGCAGCCCCACCCCCAGTGAAAACCCTGGAGCCAAGCTGGACAGAGGTCTGGGGAACGTCAAATCACAGTTGATACAACAGAAAGCCTCTGAGGGCCCATCCCGGGCAGAGAGCTCAGGGCATCTGTGGAAGGCCAGGTCTCTGTAAGTCGCCTCCTGCCCTAGGAGTGAGCCCAGGGGGCCTCAGGGATGGCTTCTGTCACCCATCTTTCCTCCTGCTTCCTCCAGCCAGAGCTCCCTGGCAGTGGCAAAGGAACTGGCTCACATGAGCGGTTTCTTCACAAACTCCCATTAGCGTGGTGTGAGAAGACATGGCTGCACAGACCCACCACCAGCCCACCCCACAGGAACACGGAGGCCAAGGTGTCCCCAGCCAGCTGCCTCTGCCCTGCCACATTCCACACACCCTTGGGTACAGCTAGTGCCTCAGGAGGCTGGTGGCCATCCTGCTGCCCCAACTGGGCCCCAGCAAGCACTCCACAAGACCTCCAGGAACATGTGCCAGCCACAGAGCTCCCTGCTGCCTGGAGGAACAGGAGGAGGGTCCAGGGACCTTTGGGGGTAGGGAGGAGGTACAGGAAAGGATCAGGAGAGTTGAGTCACGTAGCAATCAGGGCTGGGGCCCATCCAGGCAGTCAAGACTTGAGCAGAAGCAGTAGAGGGGGCAGGACCTGCAGGACAGGGAAGGGGAGGCAAAAACCCCCTTGCATTTCCCAGTCCCAGGAGACCAGAGAGCAAGAGGTGCCAGGCCAGGGAGCCAGGGTGAGCATGGATGCTGGAAGGGTGAAGCGTCCCAGGGAAGAAGAGCAGAAACCAGGGCTCCCGGAGTCTGGCAGGGAGAGAGGAGGAGGGAATACCACAGGCCATGGAGAAGTCCTGAGAAGATTCTGGGGTCCAAAAACCAGGGCAAATGCCACTGAGGGTGGGTACAGGGAGAGGCAGGGAGGGTAGTTCAGATGTTGAGCTTCTAGACTCTAGATGTCAGAGGTGGAGGCTGGGCAGCTGTGAGATCAGGGTTGGGGTGGGTTGTCTGTGTGATCTCCTAAATCCCTGGCTGGTGACAGACGCCTGGATCCACCCAGGGCTGCAGAGAACAAAGCCTTGGTGACTGAGGACCCTGGGGATCCTTCCGGAACCACCTATGTGGGTCCAAAATAGATGATCCCTGTTATGTGGACAAATGAGCAGCTGCTGGACATGCCCTGGACCCTGGATGACCACATGCCAGGTGGCCCCGAGTATGTGCCATGTGCCCTCCCTCAGTCCTCACAGTATCCTAGACAGAAGACTCCACTATCACACGCAGGGCCCAGAGAGGTCAGCCACCCCTGCCCAGGGTCACAGGAACAGAAGCCAGGCCCAAGCTGCCAATGTCCACCCTGTGTCACTCACTGGGCTGACCCCAGGGAAGAGCTCCACCCAGCTCAACTTGTATTTGAACTCAAATACAAGTTCAAATTGTGGCAGCTGAGCCCTGGCAGGGAGAAAGAGGTGTCCCAGTGCTTGTGGTGGCTTGGGGCAGCTGGGACGCGTGTGAGCTGGAGGTGGTGGGGCCAGCCTGGCTCTTTCCCTATATCCTGTGGACCAGGAGGCTCATCCACCTCTGTGATGCACAGTCACCACGGGGGCCGGGGCTGGGGGGAGCGCTACTTGGACTTGGAGTCCTAGATGTTTATGTGCCTTCCCCTGACCTGACAGTTACCAGGTCACATTGTGGCCTTTCTGCTTCCTACCTGAGACCCAGGGCTGACTTGCTATGTGTGTGGCTCGTGTGTGCTGGGCAGCTGGAGTGACACCCACCTCTGTACCCATTATATGTGTGCGAGAGAAGTGGGGGTCAGAGGCGTGTAGCATCCCTCACAGGACCCACTTCCAGAATCGGCCAAGTGTAGGCCAAGGGAGTCAGAAACCCAAGTTCTATGGATGCTGTGCAGCCTTGGGCTACCCTGCACCCTCTCTGGGCCTCATGTATAAGAAGTTGATCCCAAGCTACAGAAGTGTCAATCCCAGTGTACATGAGAGATGTCACACAGGCAGCTGGCAATTGGCTTTTCCTTCCTCTGGCTGGCTCACTGCCAGGTTCTACCCACCCAGATCTCCCCACCCCGGGGAGGGGGGGAGGGGCTCCTTGTGCTAATTGTAGCAGGGCTGAGCAGCCCATGAGGTTAGAGCATGCAGTAGGAGACCCCATAGAAAACCTCTTTGTCACCTTGTGATTGCGAAGAGCTAATGACCACCTGTGTGCCCAGACACCTGGCCAGCCCCAAGTTCTGGTCATGGAATCACTGGAGGGGAGGTATAGGGCCCCACACTGGACCAGGCCTGCCTCTCTCCCTGCAAAACCTTGCCTTTGAGGGGAACGACCAGGACCTCCCACCCTGCCCCTGGTCCAAGTAGAGGTTCGTGAATGCTGTGATCTCCCCAGGGTCCCTTAAAACACCTCTCAGGGTTTTAAAGAACCTTTCAGGGGTTCTTTAGGTCAGCTGTCTTGAACTGGCTACAGAGATTCCCCTCCTGTCCCTCAAGACCCTTCTCCCTCCCCTCCCCCATGCCAGACTCCCCATCCCAGCCATTGCCAGGCCCTGCACTCCACTGTGAGCGAACTGCCCTTTACTGGACACTTCCAAGACTCCTCCTCAGAGCAGTGTCCCTGTCCCCAGGACAGGTCAGTCCCTTTCCACCTTCCTACAAACCCCCTAAAGGTTTTGGATTCAGTACTGTCTGGGTCCACGTGCCCACCCCAGTAAACAGATATTTGCAGGGAGCTGAGGGGTGTCAGGTGACCTGTGCGTGCCTCTGAGACCTCCCCAACGGCCGGAAGCCTGGCTGTCCTGGCACTGGCACCAGCTGTGTCTTGCTCACTCAGTTCCCCAGTCTATTTGGATAGGGCAAGGAGACCGCAGGCTAGGGGCTGGGTGTTGGCAGGTGTCCCTCTGGCCATGGGGGCGCCCCCCTCTCCTTTTGCCTTCTCCCCCCTCACCCCGTTGACTCCAGACTGGAGAGGTAAAGCCTCTCCAGGCCTGACCTGGGGGAGGCAGCAGTCTCCCTTTTAGGAGCCCCACGTTCAGTGTCCCCTAACTCCATCCACCTGCCTCCATGTGGCTCTTCCCAGGACTGGGGCTCTGAGAGGCCCTGACTGGCCCAGGCTCTCAGCCTCTCCTCCTACCCTCACCCTAGGCCCTAGGCCAAGTCCCTCATACATTCCAGCAGCTGAATGAGGACAGAGACTCGCCTGTCTATCTGTCCCTGAGCCAGGGTGCGGGGTGGCACCCCGGGTGGAGCAGCTGGGAACAAGCCCAGAGGGTGTTTGGAGGTGCCCACTATCCTGATTTTCCAACCAGTTTCTCGTTCTCTGCCCCTGTGTGGGGAGGAGACACACACTCCTCTGCTCAGGCTATCCCCAGCCCAAGTCCCTTGGCAAATCGCACGGTGACAGCAGGAGAATATGAGCAGCTGCTATCATATATTGAATGTTTACTGTGGCAGGCACTGGGCTAAACCTTCGAGCGTTTTTTCATTTAATCCTCACAGCAAACACACGAGGCAGTCTCATCATGAACCCCACTTTTTGAGGCTTAAGGGGATAATGTAACTTGTCTGCCAACACGAGTCGAAGCCTGGGCCAGAGCCCAGGTTTTAATCACCAAACTAAACTCTTCTCTGCTTCCTCTCCTACTTCTTGCTCCAGAAATCCATCTGCCATGGGAGGCAGCTCCTTGACCTTACATCTCTGGTGGACCTGGGCACACGTGAGCTTAGCCTCCCTGGGGCTAGAAGTCTTTCTAGGGAAACATGAGGCATTGAGCAGACAGACCTTTCTCTGCTCCCCTTTGAAGGTCCATGATCATGACATTTAAGGGATAAACAAGGCATAAATCCACTTGGGCAAAGGGTAAGCAAGAGGTG